GTGCTCCAAACTTTCTTTCTACTTTTGATAAAACAAATTACGTACAATCTTGTTGACACTTTTCTTTTTCTTTAGTGACATAAGTGCTTATGTCTTTTTTGCATTGGATTCTTCAAAGGATTCATTATCTGAGGAGGTGGTCCCTTCATCACATGGGGCTTCAAATTTTCCTTTTGCATATTCTTTTTTGTAGTAGAAACTATAATGGCTGTCATGCTTTAACTGCTTGCATAGTCTATTATGGACTGCTTTACTGGTTGGAACTAGATTTTCAAAGATTTCCTTTCTTTTCTGCTTCATTTTGAACAAGCTGATGCTTGTCATTAATCTTGCACCAATGGATACCACCAAGATTTCTTTGGAGAAGCCATATGTCCATGTCTTCCTCATCTCTATCATTCTATCAGAGGTCTGGAGTAAAACCTTGAATCCTAGAGCTTGTCTCTCTTGGATGAACTCGATCCCATAAAGAGACTTTTCAAAGTCTTGAAAAATTTGATCTTCATTCACTTCTACCTTGATTTTCTTGGATTGAATTCCAATTTGAACTATATGATGATTGGGGAAATATTGAGATTTCTCCCATTCTAGTGCTATAGAGTAGATTTTGACAAATACTACCCCTTGAGCTTGTCTCTCTTAGATGAACTCGATCCCACAAAGAGACTTTTCAAAGTCTTGAAACATTTGATCTTCATTCACTTCTACCTTGATTTTCTTGGATTGAATTCCAATTTGAACTATATGATGACTGGGGATATATTGAGATTTCTCCCATTCTAATGCTGTAGAGTAGATTTTGACAAATACTACCCCTTGAGCTTTGGTGCCAGTTTTCAAGTCTTTTACTCCTTGGCATATAACTTTTGGAAGTTCTGAAACTTCTTCATTATCCTTTGAGAGATAAATACAGTTTACAAAACCGTAACTAAATAACTCTTTTATTGCTTTTAGGTTTGCACCCTGCATGAAATTAATTCTGGGATAAATCCCTTCATGGATAGGATGGCAATTCTCAGTGGACCTCATTAAATATGCCACTTTACAAACTCTACAGTATTCCCGCAGATATTCTTCACTCATTGTCATTTTTGACAAAGTGTCTATTATTGTAGCTTTCTTTTCTTTCTTTCTTGAGCAATCAGGTCGAAAGTTATGGCTTTCGACATTTTGAATAGCCGGCTTTTCAGCTTGAGATGCTAATGTTTCTGAGGGAGAGTATTTGACATACTAGTCAAACTTCCTTGAACTTTTTCCAGGTAATCCTATTGAAGGATCACCTTGTTCAAAATTTTCTTTTAGCTCTTGTTGGGAGCTTTTCTTTGTCATCTGGCTAGATTCTTTAAAGATGATTCTGATAGTAGTAATTACTTCGAAACTTATTAATTTTTCTATCAGCTCTTTGACCTCTTCAAGCGCATCTTGTCCTTATTTAATAACTCATGGCCTCTAATAATTTTTTTCTTGGCGTTCATCAATTCTTTCTTGGCCTTCTCGTATTTAGCTATTGCCCTCAATGAGTATCTCTTGACCTTGAGAATAAGGCCTTTCCCTTTATTTTGGAGTTTCAGGATTGCATCCATTAGCTCATTCTCTGCTCAAAAAATTTGCAAGACAATTATTAGTTCCAAGACAATTATTAGTTCCTTTGATATGTTCAATTTCAAAATCATATTCAACAAAGAAAGTCTGCCATCTATTTAATCTTTTATATTTTGGTGTTAAAGGTAATTTATTAAAAATAAATCCCTTAACTTGAGTATTGTCAGTGCTGACCTTGAAATGTTTTGGTAATAAGAAAAAACTAAACTTTTTTTATCCCATTTTTAATAGCCAATAACTCTTTATGATTTGAATGATATCTAGTTTCTACATCTTTAAATGTACCACTAGTATATCTACAAACTTTTTCTTCACAACTTTTTAAAACTGCTCCCCAATAAAAATCTGAGGCATCACATTCTAAAAACAACTCTTCATCTTCTTTAGGCAATTGTAACCCAAGAATGTTTTTGCAATATTCTTTTATTTTTTTCACATGATTAGTGTGATAAATTTTCCATTGTTGATTCTCCTTTTTCCAGAGTAACTTTTGTAAAGGATGTCTTAATTGAGTTAGGTTTTGAATAAACTGTTTTGCATAATTGAGTATCCCTAAAAACCTTTGAATTTGTTCTTTAGATTCAAATTTATCTAGGAACATCGAAATCTTTTCACTAATGTGAGGTTGTAATTCTATTTCCGTGGAATCTATTGTTAATCCAAAGAATTCAATTTTGGTTCTTCCTATTTCTACTTTTTGTTTTTAAGAAAGTAATATTCCATGTTTCTTGCATAAATTTGTAAATTTCTTAAGATGACATAAATGTTCTTTCTCATTATAAGACAAGATTAGTATGTCATCTACATAAATTATGGAAAATTTCTTGATGGAAGAAAATATATTATCCATCCTTCTTTGAAATATTTGAGGTGCATTTTTTAATCCAAAAGGCATTACTAATCACTCATAGTGTCTTGTGGGGGGACTACAGGTTGTTAGTGGGATAATGTTAGGAGTTAGTTTAATTTGCCAAAAATCCTAATTTGCAATCAAACTTTTGAATACATTTTCTTTCTCCTAATGCTATTGATTAAAGTTTCTTTATGTGATAAAAAGTAACCATCAAATTTAGTTTTGCTATTAAGTTGTTTATAATTGACAACCATTCTAGCTTTTCTTCTTTTTAATTCATTATGATTTCTTACCATAAAGGTAGGACTACTATGCGGACTCATAGAGGCCTGTATAATTTTCTAGGCCATTAACTCTTGAATTTACTTATCAAATTCTTCTTTATCTTCAGGGCTATACCTCATTGGTTTGACTCTAATGATAGTTTTTGGGTCTATCAATTTGATTGTGGCATAAGTTTTATCAACTCCCCACAGTTTTGTAGGATCTTCTCCATAATTATTTCTTAATTCTTCTGAGATATATTCTAAAGTTATTTTTTCTTGTGTTTTTTCATTATTCCACAATGCTAATATTGGTTTTGTAACCTCTTTTGATCGAGTTTTTGTATTATATTCACCATGTTGGTTGCAAAAATTTAATGGTTCTATTGCTCTAGTATAAGCATTATAAATTCCGGAGACGTAAAGCCAATGGCCACAAGGTGTATAAAATTTTACATATGATGCAATTTGAACATACTACTTGAATTGACTTAGGAAATTGTTTCCCAATAGAATATCATTTCCATGTTCATTACTTTTATAGACTTGAGGAATTATAACTTTAGTTCCACCGATTGCGGCAGTAACTCTTTCTATTATTGTTTTATATTGAATAATAGTTCCATCTATAGCTACACCTTTCATAGTTTGAGATGTGTTCTTCCAATAATATTTTGGGAATACATTGGTTTTAGCTAAACATAACCCAGACCCTTAATCTATAAAAGTATGAAAGAATTTTGTTTTGTGTTCTTCATATTTGATTCCAATGGATATGTATACACTATAGATACTAGTTTTCATAATATCGAGGTATAACCATTTCTTTTCCTCTTAAGGCAATCTTTAGACAATGTTCTTGAATATTATAGGGATGTACTGAGGTTAAGAATGTATTTCCTAGCATTAATTCTATACTTGCAGTCATTTTTGTTTCAGCATGAGCTGTTATAGTGATTTCATGTTGTATCTTATTCTTATCCTCTATTTTAAGAGGTACTTTAGCATATTCATGTACAGTGGTCACTGCACCATTAAAGTTGTAGTATTTGTATGGTTTAGTAAGTTTAAATCTTGGTAGGTGTGGGATCATATTATTATGGATATGTGTTACTCCTACTCTTGTATCTATTAGGATAGAAATGCTATGCCATTCTTTCCCATCATAATAATCCCCTTTTATTTTGAAATGTCTAGAAGGGACTTTTAAGGTGTATAATACCACTTCATGTTTTATAGTAGTTGTTAAAGTTAAGACCTTTTTATCTTTCTTAGGATAGCGTATAACTCCTAAGTCTACACTATTTTTATAGCTTGATTCAGGTTTTGTTTTGACTGATAATTTTCCTGACTCATATGCCGTTAGTCTAGGTGTTTCTCTTTCTCCTATTAGTAGTGGTTTTTCTCTAATGTTTATTTCCTATTCTTTGGGTAATTCTACCTCAGTGATCATTTCTGGTTTTTGAATTTGTCCTATTTCAGAGAACATAGGATCTAATTCAATATATTCTTTATCTTTAAAAAGATTAGATTGATGACTATTAGTCAACGCATAAGTTATCATATGGTACATACTATATGGCATTGATCCATCTTTCATAAAGTTTTCTCTAGCAAATTCATGTGCTAAACTTAAGGTTTTATTAATATTTCTATCATTAATGTTTACAGTGTATTTTGGATATACTGTAAACATAAGTTTTGGTAACTAAGGTTACCTTGCACTAATCCAAGGATAGTATCCTTTCTATCATTGATTCTATTGTCTATTAAAACTAATTTTATTGGGGTGTCTATTCCTTCTCTAAAATGAGCTTTAATAAGTCTTTGTATTCCTTCAATGTGGATAAAACCTATCCTTGATCTATCAGCTTCTTTGATTTTTGATAGTTTGCTTTCTATTTCTGCCTTGATAATCAAAGGTATATTTATTATTTTTGTTGTATTCTTGATAGGAATGCTATATTCTTTAGTGGATATTCCATAATAAACTATATCTTTTCTCTTAAAGGATTACTTATAAAGGAATTTGGTTTGAATCTTTTTTCTAGAGTAAGGTCCATTCTCTTTTGTCTAATTCTTTTATATTTACTTTTATCGAATACAATTATTTGATTGTATTCTCCATGTCCTTCATATTCTTCAGAATAAGCTTCTCCTTCTTCGATATTCTGATTCATCACTACTAGAAGTATATAATCTTTCCACTTCATATATACTTTCTTTGCTACTTATAGAGCCAGTATCTATTTCACTTAGTTCTTCTTCATAAATTTTTAGGTTTTTAGTACTTTCTCTTTTGTATCTTTTAGGACATTTATTTGCATAATGCCCTTCCTCTTTACACAACCAACATGTGCATTTCTTAGAATTCTTTTTATACTTTTTTAATGTTTTGGTTTTCTTAAAATACCTCTTTTTCTTTCTAAAAAATTTGTTCTTATTAAACCTTTGTTTATTACTTCTTTTAATTCTAAATTTCTTGTTTCTCTTGTTGTAGTTGGTGTAACTACATCCTAACTTGATTGGATCACTATTCTTAGGATAACGTAGTCCCTTTTTCATACTTTTTTTTTAGTTTGTTCTGACTATATGTTTCTAGGCATCATTCATTAATTTTGGTTTTAGTGAACCAAATCCTTAACCCTAAAGTATCTTTCTTACCTTCTACATATATTCTATAGGCTTCTGCCAATTTTATCCCCCAAGGATTAGGAATTTTTCCAAAAAACAATTCCACTAGGCCTTTAGTCATTCCATGATTTGAAGCTTTATAATAGTATTTCTGAAATAGACAAATGTATTGATCTAATTCATAGAGATTACATAATTCTAAATTTTGCAAATTCCACATTGCCATTCTTCCAATTCTGGCCTCCTCTTTTCCTTGATTTTCTTCCCAATTTTCTCCTAAGAATTCTCTTCTAATGGCTAATTCAAACCTGTTTATTATGTCTTGAGTTGCTTTGTTTTCATTAACTTCTTCTGAAGTAGGATTTCCACTTATAATAATATTACTGTCTTCTTCATTTAGACCAGCAAACCAGTCGTGAATTATCCCTTTAAAGCTGACTTCAATAAATCTAATTGTTTGTAAAGCATTCCAATTTTTGTTTGCTATAGCTATCCAAGTAGCTTGGGCCCAGTCACTAATGACTTTCTCTAGGTCGGTAACACAATCTAGATCTAGCCAAATATCATTAGTACTAATTATTTGTTCTTTGATTCTAATTGGTGTTTTAAGTCTAGATTGATTCCCAAATCTTTTACTCTTTTTATCATATATCACTCCATGTGTTAGATTTCTATTTTTTCTATAGCTTTGGCTTATGCTAGATTCTACTCTAGGTGGCACTGGAAATTCTATTGGGGTTATATTAGGATGTGTGTCATCCTTTTCTTCTTCACTTTACTCTTCTATTTCCTCCTTTTGAGTATTCATTTTCATATTTTCTAATTGTTTAGTAGTTATAGTAATTTGTCTACATAGATTATCTAATTCTTCTACATTTTTTTCTTCTAAGAATTTTTGTTCAAGTTCTTTCAACTTTTTCTTCTTGGGTTTTTAATATGAAAAGTTTTATCTCTTTTAATTTAGGCTTTTCCATGAAAATATTCAGGATTATTTTAAATCCTTCACTTCTGATCTAGAATATTTCACCTACTACAGACTGATATTATAGTGTATCTTGTAGATCCTTGAGTTGTGTTTGGATCTTATAAAAATTTTTATCTATATCACTTTCTAGTTGTGGAATTATTCTGTTATACATTTTTAAGCTTTGATTGTAAATTTTTTAGCGATTGCTTTTAATATCTTGAAAATTTCTTCTATTTTAATTTCTATCTCTCTTACTCTAGATATTAGAGTCTTTAAGTCTTTAATAAACCTTATTTCTACTTTTATTTCTTTCAAATTTCTAGAAATTTTGACATTATTTATTCTTTCTTTAATAGAATTAAATTCTTGAGAAAGAGATTTTCCCATCTCTTTAATTCTTCTTAGGGTATTTTCATTAATTGTTTTTATTTCTAGAATATTATTTATGATAATTGTGTCTTCTATATCTATTATACATTTTTATACTGTATTTAGTAAATACATGTTAATTTGATTTATTTATTCATTACTACTGATAGAAGTATATTAATAATGTTTCTTAATGTATTTATCATTCTCTTTTTGTTTTTATTTTGTAATTAAGAGTTCTAACCCTCATTGTATTTTCAATACTTACTTCTAAAGCTTTTCTTTCTAAGTTCACTAGGTTTCTCTTTTTGAATTGAGGTAGTTGCTCAATTTCATCACAAATTCTAACTAATCTATCTTTATAGAGTATTTCTTGATTCATTATATTTTATTGGGATTATAATGTCACTTTTTTAAAACTTAGAGGAATGTTTCATTTTAACGAAAATCTTGTACGGTAGACCATTCTGAAATATTTTTCAAAGTTTATAGACCACTTAGAAAAAAAAAATACTTTCTAGACTAAAATGAAATCAAGTTGATAGTTAATAGACTAATTTTTGAATTAAGCCCCTAAAAAAATGAAAAAAGTAATCTGACTTGTCGTTTTCTGAATTCTTTCGAATTCCTCCTTTTTACTTCGGCTGCTTTCCCAACAATCTGTTAACTTATATTCCCCGCTGATCCCCATGAAAGAATCGGAGAAGAATCCCAAGAAATCGATTCCGCCGTACATGAAGGCGGTATCGGGGTCTCTTGGGGGTATTGTGGAGGCCTGTTGTTTGCAGCCGATAGACGTGATAAAGACGAGGTTGCAGCTGGACAGGACGGGGAATTATAAGGGGATTGTGCATTGTGGCTCCACAGTGGCTAGCACGGAGGGGGTGAGGGCTTTGTGGAAGGGGTTGACTCCTTTCGCCACTCACCTCACACTCAAGTATGCGCTGCGGATGGGATCCAATGCTGTGCTTCAATCCGTGTTTAAGGACGAGAGGGGTAAGTTGAGCAACCGTGCTAGGCTCATGTCGGGGTTCGGTGCTGGGGTTCTTGAGGCCCTTATGATTGTCACACCATTTGAGGTTAGTTTTATTTGTTGAAAATTCCCAATGTTTTTGGGTTAATTTTTCTGAGA